CCTGGACAGGTCTCCAGTCCACCATTAGGACACCTGGATAGGTCTCCAGTCCACCATTAGGACACCTGGATAGGTCTCCAGTCCATCATTAGGACACCTGGACAGGTCTCCAGTCCATCATTAGGACACCTGGACAGGTCTCCAGTCCATCATTAGGACACCTGGACAGGTCTCCAGTCCACCATTAGGACACCTGGACAGGTCTCCAGTCCACCATTAGGACACCTGGACAGGTCTCCAGTCCACCATTAGGACACCTGGACATATTCTTGAAAGATATAATTTCTGATGATAAACAGATGAATGTGAAGAACCTCTGAAGGGCCACATGGAACCAGGACCAACAGACTAAACTCTCAGAAGTTGTGTTTAAAAGTTAAAATAAGATTCAGATAAAACASAGTAAAACCTTCAGCCTCTCTCAGACTAGCCATTAGCTCCTCAGTCTGTTCGTCCAAACTGAGATCACAGAGTTAAAAGATCTGAACTGTCCCTTTACATCAGGGGGGTCCATCTCTACTGTGGGACCAGGCCCACCCTTTCTCCTCTGGACCTTCAGGCYGACCCAGCCCCACCTCCTGGGCTGACCTCCATGCTGTGGGGTCCCTCAGAGACCTGTCAGGTCCTGGGGGAGTCCCTCAGACCTTCTGTGTTGTGTCCTGCAGGAACATAACTCTGTTTCCCACCATCGATCTGAGCGTCCCTCAGCATCAACACATTCATCTGTCCTTGCCCTCAGCTCCAGCTCCAGACCTTTGTGTGATCCTCTCGTCTGTTTCTCTTTTATCGCTGCCGTCGTTCAGATTCTGTCTCCGTTTAATTATCTTGTCTCCATGAGTCAGGAAGAAGAGAAGGTTTTACTGACCAATCAAACGAATGAATGCTTCTGTTTAAAGACAAACAATCGCAACAAGCAGGCGTGCATCAGATATTTTACTAACAGACATGATTGCCTGCCTTCATGGCTGTGGAAACAAAAAGAACAATCAATAAGCCCCGCCCCCTCAGATCTATATATTTATTCATCTGCTCTGACAGCCGAGTGCTGCATGTGTGCAACACATCGATCGCTCCATCTGATATATCCTCTCCTGCTGATTCAGTCCCCTCAGGACACCAGGATGGCACATGGACCTAACTGGGACTGACGGAGACACCGAGCTCAGAGGACAGAGCGTCCAGAGCCCAGAGCTCAGGGACAAAATCTACAGACGTGTCTTCAGACCGTCTCAGATCACAGTTCAAATATAAAAGCTACAGATGTAACAACGTTCAACAGAAATGAGACAAAGAACGAGACAAGCTTGGACAAAAAACTGCAGGACGTTCTGGACCCAGGTGAGACAGAGCAGCTGATGGACCAATCAGAGGACACGTCAAACTTCTCTGTCTGCACAGAAAAAACAACAAATATTAAAACGTTTGTTTTTATTTCAGGTTTTATTTCAGAATGTTTTATAATCACACACTGGAAAAATACTGTGTTGGACATGTCCACCATCTGAGGGACACCTGGACATGTCCACCATCTGAGGGACACCTGGACATGTCTCAGTCCATCTGAGGGACACCAGGACATGTCTCAGTCCATCTGAGGGACACCTGGACATGTCTCAGTCCATCTGAGGGACACCTGGACATGTCTCAGTCCATCTGAGGGACACCTGGACATGTCCACCATCTGAGGGACACCTGGACATGTCCACCATCTGAGGGACACCTGGACATGTCTCAGTCCATCTGAGGGACACCTGGACATGTCTCAGTCCATCTGAGGGACACCTGGACATGCCTCAGTCCACCTGAGGGACACCTGGACATGTCTCAGTCCACCTGAGGGACACCTGGACATGTCTCAGTCCACCTGAGGGACACCTGGACATGTCTCAGTCCATCACAGGGACACTCTGTCCTTTAGATCAGGGAAACTCAAACTCTTTGGGTCTGGAGACCCTTAGCCTGGTAAAAACCAGACCCTGTCCTTCACTTTGCTTCATACGAGGGTCTGGACTCTCGGCTATAGAGAAGTGATTCTTGCAGGATCTGCTGAAGTTTAAAATGATTGGATCAGTTAGCCGCGATGTTTGTATGCTAGCTCCACTGTGACGGAGGCTAAGCTAAGAAGCTAACAGGAAATCACGTGTTCTGTAAAGAACCCTACTGAAGGAGAAATA